TGAGCAAATTTAAACTCTCTTCCCTGGACTGTTGCACTGTATCAAAAGTATTTCCTCTGAGAACTGCTAGTAGCAATTAGCACAAGCAAATTATTTTGGATTTTTTTTTCCATTTTAGTTTGGTCTAAATTGGAGATTATCAAAAGCTGAAGTTCATAGTGAATCTGCTCTATTTATTTGTATAGACTGTAGAGCAGGGATACAGAGGACTTTAGAAAATAAAGACAGAAAACAAGCAACTGATCACAATTAACAAATAGGTTCTGATATTTATGATTAAGATGACAGGTTTTCTTGGAGGAGAGAGGGAGCATCCAAAAAAAAAAAAAAAAAAGAATTCTTGTACCATATTCCTCTCCAAAGTATTTAATCCTCAGGAATTTCTGTAGTATTTGAAATATTTTGAATATTTAAGTTAATCAGGATTCAAGGATCCAGAGGATTTCAAAATTTTACCATTAAAACCCTTGAGGTCAAGAGAGCATGGTTGCTTATCAGTTTGTTCGAAAACTTGGGAGGCCCAGCAGAATTTCTATTAATTGTGAATGTAAGTTCTGAATAATACAAAAGACTTTTTAAAATCCTACTCTTCACATCTGGCTTTGCTTTAGAATTTTTACATGAAAAATAAACGAAAATAGGTGAAAGAATGCATCTATGGGGTATGGTTCTTTAGAAGAAGCGAAGTTGTTGAGCAGATCATAAGTCATATTGATTAGAGGAATTTATTATGCGGATGAAGGAAAAAGGAGGAAACTTATTTTAAATGAGCAGTTCCTATTGGTACTTGAATCTTATTCTTGAGTATTATTCTTAGCAACTAGAACCTATGGGAGGAAAAATATTTAACAAATCACAAGTAGCAAAACTAATCAACACAATTTAACTCTAAAAAATTATATCCTGCAGACCTTTGAGACCCACATTGATTCTGAATGCAGAAGAATTATGGGAGTATTTTCTAAGATAAATTAAAATTACCCTATCCTGTGTATTCTATTCTGAAGTACAGCCTTGAATCAGAGTTGGACTCAAAGAGAAAAAAGAGGGGATCTACATTAGTTACATGAAGGGGTTGCTTGAATATGTGTATCATTCAGCTCTAGAAAGGAATTGCATTGAGGTCACAAAAAGATTGTTACTGAAAATTTCTCTGTATGAAGATGGACAAGAACACCCCTTAATTACATCATGGCTCAATTATCAAAGGTCCAATTGGCTTACACCATGTTGAACTTATGTTACTTCGTGTTGCAAACCATGATATTTCCTTTTTGAACTCTCATATCAAATGGTGTGTTTGTTTTTTTTAAAGCACTACTCCAAGTCAGTATTAATTTAGTAATTGTATTGTTTTACTGGTTATATTTAATGCCTATCCTCAGCACTTAAAAATGAAAAAAATTGTTCTTTAACTCACTGTGGTAACTGGGTATATGAGTGAATACATTCTCATGCACATGTTTTATAAAGCATTCCTACTTATGTCTGAAATAAAATTTAAAATCAAAACAAAAAATAATAGATCAGAAACTAATGTTGCAATTTAAACCTATTTGAATTTTCTAATGCCCTTCAATTTTTCATAGCTTTTAAAGGTATGATTTTTATATGTATTTTAATCTTGCTGAGTATATCTGCATAATAATAAGAATAATAAAATTAAATTAAACCTGATTTTAAAAAAAAAGTTTCTAAAGATGTGGTGGGGAATAGTTGTCGTTTCTGTCTTTCTTGAAGGTCTAGAGTTCTAACAAATCCATTTTTCCTTGTCATTTCTTCTATAATTGTCCCACTTCCTTTTTTTACCTTAGTCTCGTTGGTCTATTCTTGTCAAATGCCCTACTTCTGAGAAATTTCAATCCATTACATTTTTCCCTTTCTGCAGTCAGCCTTCCACACCGAGAAAGAAGAACTCCAGGCTGGCTGACTCTGAGGTTCCTTTGAACTTTCTTTAATCTGAAAAAGATCTCATTGCCACCAGTAAAAGGTTACTTATGTACATAGCAAATGAAGCCAATGGGTTTTTTTGTTGCTAGGAAATAGTATTATAGAATTTCTTTGGGACTACAGAAAATGTGCTTGCCCATCAGTATTATATCAATGCACTCATCTAACCAGTAGTCCTAACTCAGTCCACTCTATAAAGTGGGGAATAACCTCCATTTCTACTGAAATTATCTTTCTCTATCACATGCAATATAGATGTAGTAGCAGCCTCTCTGTAACTGTTCAAGCCTGGGTTGACAGAGAAATTTAGGTCTTTAAGTGCCATTGAAATGCCTCTGGAGTATCTTTCAGGACCTAGGACTCCTTTCTTATTAGACACACTGCAACAGAACAAAAATATCCTAAAGGGGTTGCAGATTGTTAATGATTGCATTTGCGAGACTTAGCTAGTTTGGTGAGCATGGAGGAGTGTGTTGATAAAAGGTCCAATGGAAAAACTGAGTGCCTTGTTAACTGATCTTAAAAAAGAAATAGTTTTTGTAGTGAGCTTGACTTAATTTTGTTTCTCTTCTCCCCAAACCAGAGGGTCTGCTTCCCTATCCTGTGAGTAAAGACTTCCCCTAGGCTTAAATGAATGGGAGAACTTGCAAGAAAGGAAGCTATCCTTTAGGTTAAGAAAGTGGAAAAACAACTGGTCTACATGACCTCAGCTTATATTAGACATCAGCTTATTATGATAAACAGATAAAATATAATTATTTCCTTAATATTACTTTCTCTTTAGCTTTAGGTATGGGGTTTTTGTTTGTTTTTGTTGTTTATATTACCTCAGCTGCTCTTTATCAATTTTTTTCTTGGACCCCGCACTGAATGTGATTCAAATTTTCTGTTTAGGAATCTGTATTCATAGAAGTACAGAACTGACTTTTTGTTGGTGCTGATATGAATTATGAGAGCTGGGAATGTACTTAAAGGTAACTTAATGTCTGTGAGTGACTCCAAACCACCACGGTACATTATTTAATATGATTTGATAAATTACTGACAGAGAGTGTTTTCAATATTTTATCTTTTCCTTCTAGTTTATCCAGATAACCAATTGCATATGGCAGGCATCTGAGGTACAATAGAGAAACTGGAACATTAGTGTGTATCAGCTGCAGCTCACTTAGATATTTTTATGATGGGGAATAACAGTTTCCCACAATTAATCTGCTACAAGAAAGGTAAAAAGTAGATGACTTTCCAGGAAAGTAATAAGGAATTGGGCCATTAAAGCTGTTCTTAAATGTTTTTGCTTTGTTTTACCTATTGCCCCAAATAAGCAGCCAGGCTCCTAAATGTTCATCCTAATAGCTGGAGATACTAACCCAAATCCAAATTGCTGTTTTCCTTACTGCTGATCTTACAGAGATATAGGTGATGATGAAGCTTAGGTTGATTGACGTGAATCCTTTTGGGATTATAGCTAGTGGGTTGCTATAATGCCTCTCACCTGTTCCAGAAAGCAGTAACAAGATGCTGCTGCAGAACACAGCTGTAGTCAGCAGGTGCTTCATACAGACTGGCAGCATTTCTGAGCAACAGTAAGGCAGTAAGGATTATTGAACATACGAGATCTACCAGTCATATTCCTTGCAGAATGGAGTTGTCTGCTGTTGACTGGGTGGACTGATGTTACTTAGTAACTTCTTTTTTTCATTGGTATGTGTTTACATTAAAAAAAGATTACAGCATCTGTTTCAGAAAGTCAAATATATATGAAGCCACATTAGTTATTTATATGTGGGACTTTAAAGGCGGTATTGCAAATTGTGCAGAGCAGTTGCTGACTCTTGGTCTACTATTTCTTTGAAGCACGTATTGGAGCACAACTGATCTATTGAACTTTTGTTCATGGTAGTATTCCTTCAGTAAGCTGAAGGCTTACTCCTTTTTCTACAATATTATAATGAAGCTTGTAAAAGATGCACTCTTTTTATGCCTATCTGACTGAAAAGTTTTTGTAAAAATAATAATTGAAGCAAAAACCAGAAAGGGACTGTAGCTGAAGAAAATGAAAAAGCAAAGTGATGGCACCTGTTCACTGTCACTCCTAACATCATCAAACTGAGCTCCTGCTTTCTACTAGAGGTTGTCCCAACCCATCTGGCCTGTACAGTTTTTAAATAGCCAGGGAATTTGGACAGAGACTTTGTGGGAATCCTTATCCTCTCTGTACAAATAATAAGAGCTTTTCTTCTAAACACACTTTACTGGATAATTCTGTTATCCATCAACATGGAACAATGGAACTGCACTTGCCAGAATGTACATCTTGGCTAATTATTTCTACTTTTATTTAAATTAGTTTTTAAGCTTCTATTTTATTCTGGCAACAGACCTGAATCTTTGGTAACTGAACACAAGTCTTCACATATCCTTAATTAGCAGCTCTTCCTGTTTTTAAATCTTACTTCCTTTTTTTCCTATCTATCTTCCCATTCTTAGGGTTTGTGTTTTTTTTAAACTAATTCTATTATGTCCTTGCAGCATCAATTTCTTATATTTTCTTCCTTTCTTTTTTTCCTATTTACTGCGTTTCTAGCCTTAACATATGTCTTCTACTAGCGTAAGAAGGTTTTTCAAATTACTACTAAATGTGTGTTTCCGTGACTGACTTTTTGTGCCATGTCCTTATGCAATCAGATGTAGAGCCTGATCAAAATGTTTTAACTCATGGCATTGAGTTCACTCAAGGGCTCACGTCGCAGACAAATTACACGTGCCTTCTAACCAATTTGTATAAACAAATACTCTGAGGAGAATCTGAGATATCTTTTTCATGAGATTTAATTTCTTCGACCTTCCAGAACCTCAGGCGATTGGAAGCATAACTATTCTCCACTTTACTAAAGATAAATCTCTCTCTTTTCAAATATATGTACATACATGCGCACTTATTTATTTATAGCTAAATAAGGTCATAAAAAACCTAAAAAAATCTAGGATGTTTTAACTATTTCATTGACTTTTCAGATTGTTTTTAAGCTGTTTTTTAAACTTTAAAGGCAACACTGATAGTGAACGGTTCCAAATGGTAAAACAGAAAATCCCCTTCAAATATAACCGGCCTGTAGAGGAGTGGCTGCAGGAAAAAGGTAACAGTCATTAAAACTTTCATTTTAAACCCATTTGATTCTAAACTCTCATTTTTAAAGCCTGCAAATAGATGTTTCTTAAATGATAATCGCCTGCTGCATAAATGACTGTTTTAATTTTCATTATAATTTGTGTCAGCTTCCACCTGCCATATGTTGATAAATCATGCTATAATACATTGCTATTAAAATGCAGTTAAAGGGACAAAATTCTAAGCTTGCTATAATAGTAATGACAAACAAACAAGCGAAAATTCAGGAGATGTTTTCTAAAAGAAAAAAACAAATGAAGAAGAGTGAAAAGCAACAACATGTATTATGGCAATTTAACCACTGCATGATTTTCCTACTTTGATTTGGTTTTAAGATACATTTATATATTTATTATCAAAGTTTTGTTAAGAGATTTTCAAATCCACTTGTTAAACCACTTCCTTTAAGTTTCTTTTTTTTCTCATGAGTCTGATTAGCCACTATGGCTATGTATTTCCTAATTGTATTAAGATAATTAAACAATTTTAAAAAATGTTGTAAAGAAAACATTTTTTAACATTTTAATTTAAATTCCAATGAGGGAGACAGAGAAAGATGATTGTTCTGTCTGGAGTACAGTTTGAACACTCAAAGGATGCATTTGTCTAAGTTATGGGTCAAATTTTTCTCGAACATATTCTCAAGCAGTGCTACTTAATTTGTGGGTTTTCCTGGAGTACTTGGCCTCAGATCAGCAGAAGACTTGTTAACATGAATAAGTCCAGAGGGCTTGAATGAAAGTTCTGCACACCTGTTGAAATGAGACTTGTGTCAGAACAGTAGTGTTTTCTTGTCAGGAATTTGGAGGGGGAAAAGTCTTAGATGTAGAGCCCATTTCAAAGCCTGTTGAAGGTAACAGAATGACTTACTGATTTCAGTAGAGTTTGGACTAGGCTCTTGGTAATACAGTGGAGTTTAAGTCAGGAAGATCTTCTCCTTCTATACTAAATGGGGCATTAAAAAAAAAAAAAAAAGCCACAAAAAAACCACTGTAACTAACTCCTTGCCTTGAAATCTAGATAAAGCAGAACACAATCTTCTCTTGTTTCCTTTCATGAAAACAGTGCTAATAAAAGAGGGTGACCTTTGAACTCAGATCTTGCATTTTCTGTGCTGATTTAGACCACTGTTCTTAATGCATCTTCCAAGAAGGAAAACCAATCTTTTGTAGGACTGGAAAAATATAATTTATGTTCTGTTTCAAATTTCTAACCTCAGCTGAATTAACAGATTGGTTTATCCAGTACAAATTAAGGTCAGGGAGGATGTGGCTAAATACACGCAAAATATTTTTATGTGAAGGGCCTGATCCTGCAAAGTGTTGTGCACACTAATTTCCTGTTCACTTCAATGAGAGCTGACAGTGTTGCTCGCTTTTCAGGTTTGGTCTGCAATGATGTAATGTTTATAACTAAAGCTAAAGTATTTTGAAAATAAGGCAAAAATATTTGTATAACCAAAACAGAAATATTCTTTTACCACCAGTTTTTTTTGAACAGTTAATTCAGCTAAATTTAAAATAAATTTTAAGATAACAATAAACAGAAAATGCTTATTGAGTCTCAGTGGATTGCCCTGTTAATTTACAAGATCAAACTAAAATATATAAATAAAGTTTAACTCTAAAAAGAGAATAATTTTGGTAAGTCTGAATTGCTAAAGTCCCTTTAACACTAAAGACAGTGATTGCCTTAGTTTTGTTAAAACAGATGCATGTCTAATTCCTTGATGCAATTCATGTGCTTGAGAAACCCATCTTTGTTTTCTTTTGGTTTGGTTTTGGGTTTGCTTTGATTTTTATTTTTCGTTTTGGTTTTCTGCCAAATCTTTTATTTTATGTCACTGCTTCTCCAAGTTTGAGCTTAAAAGCATGCCAAGGCACTTCCATTTGTAAGCCATCCTGAAGTTTTGAACTGAAGTCTACCTTTTGTGGATATTGATGCTTTGTTGAAAGACAATCACACATGCACTAGGGTCTAAAAGAGACAATATTTGACTGTTCAGACTCTCTCAAGGCACTGGACGTTTTTAGGCTAGAAGGGCAGAGCCATGTTTTTACTAAAGTGGAATGAAATTCAGTCTTCCCACTTTGTGTGAGGGAATGACATTGTGCAGTGTAACAGCTGAGAAAATACAGCTTTGTTCCTTCGTTCCAAAGTATGTAGATGTTTTCAGCAACTTAGGTACCACTCAAATTAAAAAATTATAAGAATTATTAATTTATGTAGCTTTTCACCAACCTGCTCATCCATCTGGTCATCCATCTAACAATTAAAGTAATGTGGAAACCTTCTATCAGAAGACTTTATAAAGATGATGAGTGAAAGGATAGCTTGCTATCAAAATGGAGCAAGATGGACTGATGGATGGAGGAATATATTCATCAAAGAGACAGCATATAGAATAGCTGTCTTGCCCATATGAGTTCTTGGCTCGGGTGAGGTAAGATGAAACACTTTTTGATTGACATTTGGCACCACTGCTATGTTATTCATAATAATGAAATAGTTCATTCTTGGATAACACAACATCTTTCTGAAGTGGCGTCATTACTGGCTTGGGGGGGCTTTTAAATTTTATAAATTAGTTGACAGTATTTTTAAGAGGAGCCCAGGTTTACAGTCTTGAATTGTATGAGTACTGAGCAAAATATTAAATGCTATTAACTTCAATGAGATTATGGATGTGAATATAAAAAGAAGTATTAGTCTTAAATTGTTCAACTTGAGTAGTCATAAATCGAGCAGATTTCCTTAGCAGAATACCTGGTGTCTGCTAAGGCACAGATGTTACCTGTTCTGCAACTGGATGAGCTAATAAAGACCCAGAAGCATCTTATCAAAAGGACTGATCCCAGAAGTCCTTAATTATTCAAATTTTTCTTACCTGTAAAGTCTCATTGATGTAAGTGACTGTACTTTTGAAGCAAGACCTATTAGTGTGAATTAGGATTTGCAAGATCAGGCCCTTTTCTGTAGTGTTACAGAAAAGTTAAGATTTCTCTGTGATATTTTTAATTAGAATTCAGTTTTCCAAATGAAGAAGTCAATGAGAGAGCAAACAAAGAAACAATAGTCTGAACAATTCAGAATATTTTAAAACACCTCAGAAGCTTAAAATACGCTCAAAATTTGTCTTTAGTATGACACTAAAATAGCAGTAGGAAGAGTTCTCTGGGGGAAAAAAAGGACTGTAATTCTGCAGTCCTTACAGATCTAGTAGAATTTACTAATGTAAACAGTTCCTCAATAAAATTCAGTGGCCAAATAAATTTTACTTAGAGGAAGTAAGGGATTCCAATCAATATAATCCAAAAATTATTAGGAGAGACATGGTGACAGAATTAAGTGTATATTCTCTCAACAGTTTTTTCTCATTCCATATGCATTTTCCTGTTGTCTTTATTCACGTGGGTGTACACCATCTTAGAGTGAAGAATGAGGAATTCCAGGTTGTAGGTGACTGCAACAAGTGATTGTTCTTTTAGCAAACACAGTTCTAGTTGCACTGCAGTAATGCTACATGTAGCATTAACTAAATGGTGCAGTGCGTGAATCCTGGTCTAGAAAACCACTGAACAAACAATGAAGATCCCACACACAATCCAAGTCTTTTTTTACTGGAATGGGGTCACCTCTTTGGTGTACACTTTCTTTCAATATTTGAAGACACAGGTGAAGGCCCAGAATTGGAAACATGGCCTTTTTTTTTTAACCTTAATATACCAACTCCTCATTCTTGAAAATAAAGCAAGAGATATGACAGACATGTCTAAAACTGTGGTATGAGCTTGAGTTAGAATAGATGACGTCCTGAGGAGAGTAATCCTCCAGTAAAAGCGAGAGAGCCCCTTTTCTCTCATGGTCTGGGGAACTCTCTTACCTGAAGCAGCAAAAATTCTCCATACTCATTACTGTCCACCTTTTCCCATTTGGCAAAAGATGAACAAAGATTCAGTATTGATTCAAAGGAAGAAAGGAATGGAAATGGAAATAGGAAACTTATAACTGACAGTACCTTCCATCCATTTTCAGGGATAGCACCTCAAGATTAGTGAATAACTCCCTGTTCTTTACTCATCTTACCTCTACTTTTTGGCATTCTTATCATGAGTGAGGTAGGAAGGAGGGAACAGCGGTGAGTGACATGTCTGGGTTCATAGGGGTAGGGGCAATACAGAGAGAAATATAGTGCTAGAGGGAGGGAACATATTAGAAGAAGGGAAAATGGTGTAGTAAAGATCTTACAGCATATCTTTTAAAAAATCCAAAGCACAACAGGACAGAAAAGAAGAGTAAACTCTGAGGACATGGTAGGGAAAAGGAGTTTGACCTTCTACAGTGTACAGTGCCATTTCCTCTAACTCAGAGAGGAGCTGGGCTGAGACGGCTGAATATCTTGACAGATATTGTTATTGGATTTTATTTTCCTCATAGACAAGAATAAAGGCTCTGTTTACATTCATAGGATATGTGGCTTCAGTGCATGTTTGTTGATGTTTTAATAGACATATGTGGCCTCTGGAAAGTTTAAAACCTCCTGAGGTGCACAATATCGCATCAAGTGTTTCACACTTCCCAGGGGAAGGATACCCTCCATTTTTATTTTTCATTTCTTCATCAATGCAGTTACTCCACCCTGATCAAGTCCTAATTTTTCATTTACAAATCTGTGGGTGAGGAGCACAAGGGATGTGCAGCCCACATCCACATGTCTGTATGTTACACCTGTCCATACACTGTTATTTAGTTAGCTAGGGCCCTCTTTGGGGACGGGAACTACTTTCAGATACATTTCTTCTCTTGTTCCCGTTCTCTTCCCCATGGTCCATCCTGTCACCATAAGATGATGCTACACCGCATCACCACTTGACTTCAAGACCCGTCACGACGACCACCAAAATTGGTGAGCTCCCCCTCGTATTTTGATCTACTCTAACCACTGGCTGTGAAGGAATGAGCAGTGGGTTAAACGTTGTAGTTTGCTACATGGTGGCATTCTACGCCTCTTATCAGCTTGCATTAGACAGAGAAAATGGCAAGTGAGAACTGGGGAGTGGGAATGGGATGGGAACATGTCCTTCAAACTTCATAAAAATGGGAAAACACAGTAAAATATTTGAATGATGATTGACTTGATGCTGCATTGATAATTCTTCTGAGCTCTGTCCAGTCTGACTGTCTGCTAATTCAACAGATTCCAGATGTCATGCCCCTAATCTTCTGAGGAATAGTGAAGTTATAGGCATTGCCTTTGCACTTCATGAAGCAATTTATTTCTTAACATGGTCAACTACTGCAGCCTGGGATATAAACAGTATTTATAGAGCAGTCCAGGCTGAATGTCACGTAAGTGTCTTGCAAACATAGGCGAATTGGCAATTGTTACTAGATTTATTTCTAATAAATACATTTTTTTATTACATATTATATTAGACCACTTCTAACACTCAAGGTGTGACCTTGACTAAACCACATGACCTGTCTCCATCTGAATTTCACCATCTGTAAGAGGGGAGTCACACATTAGGCATTCTGGGGCTTAGCTGTCTGAAGCACTGTTATCTTCACTATTTCAAAAGCTTTGCTCTTTCAGAGACATCACAAATGTTTGCATTTGCTGTTTATTGGATTTCGATCTGTGAACCTTCACAACAAGGACTGAGTAAGAATCTTATGACAGTATCAGCCATAAGTTTTCACCTGTAAAGTTCAAGCCACCCCTTAAAACAACTGCATTAATAAAAGTGGTTCTATGAGTTAATGCTATCCTTTAACAGTCAAAATAGGAGATTTAATTATAGGCTAAAGCCTGATAGGTACTGTAATCTGAATTGATAGTAGAAAAATGGCCACATATTGAAGTCCTATTTATAGTTTAAAATGGGTCCAAGTTTAAAAGAGTGAGTTCAAATTTCTGAGTCAAAGCTCCTCCAGACTTCTGATATGTGAATGGATGCTGAAGTATGAGGTTTCAGGTTATCTTTCAGGATAATCTTCCTTGTTAATGATCTTTAGGCAGTACATTTCCATACTGTCTCTCTACAGTCATCATAATCACTACCAAGAATGAATCTACTTCTTTTTTGTCTGTGATTTCTGACCAGGGTTCAGTGTAATATGCAAAGTGAAGGAAATGTTTGGCAATAATGTTATTCACCCCCCTTCACTAGGACGACAGTTAACGATCTTCAACACCCAGGCGCAAATAGCCATAGGAGGGAAGGACAGAGGGCGTCTCTTTCAAGGCCAGCTCTCCGGTCTCTATTACAATGGCTTGAAAGTGCTGAACATGGCAGCGGAGAACAACCCCAACATTAAAATCAATGGAAGTGTCCGACTCGTTGGGGAAGTCCCTTCCATCTTGGGAACGACACCCACAACCTCTGTGCCACCAGAAATGTCTACTACAGTCATGGAAACCACAACTACGATGGCGACCACTACAACCCGAAAAAATCGTTCGCCGCCCAGCATCCAGGTGAGTCAGTTAGTCTTCTGCATTTTCTTGGGTTTTAATTAGTCTTGCTGCTCACTTGTAAGTTCACCCAAGTTATATTCTCTGAGTCAGGTTGCATGTAACTCTTTATTTTAACAATGTTGTATAGGGTAAATCACAAAAAGATGTTGCCCTCCTCTGTTGGTGAACAAACAGCTGGATGCATTGTTATAGTACATGTATGGGGTAATGGAGACAAATTTTTCTTTTGTTCTAGTGCAACCATTTTTATGTAAGTAGGATTGCCCCAATGTGAACATGAACATGCTTTTAACTATGTTTACAGAGTTCCATATGTGGGGAAATGTATTCCTGAGAGAGTTACAAAGCTTACTGGGGTTGGGTGTATGGTTATTTATTAATATGACAGTATGTACTGCTGCAATAGTGACATTCATAATGAGGAAAAAAGCAGTGGAGCATTACTTCCATTTAGAGTAATTTTTCATTTGCCTTTTATAGCCTTCCTGCAGAGAATTTTGAAGGAAAGCTATCAAGATCAGTTTCTTTCAAAATGTAGATGTTCCAACCTATTTCGTAAAAATCATTCCTACAAAAAAGTTAATTTCAGAGGTTCTGATTTAATTATGTCAATGTAGTTATTTCAACCCTAAATATATTGGTTTTGAAATTACTTTTGTGGCAGCCAGAATATGGTACTGACTAGAAATAAACACCTTCAGTTGTCTCTCCTTGTCTGTGCAAAGAAAAGAATCCTGTAAATGACCAGTCTGAGCTGTGGATGAGATTCTGAAAATTATTTCTTTCAGGGGTGTACTATCATGTTATCAACTAAAATGAAACATTTGTTTTGAAATCATTAAAGAGAGAGAGCTACTGAAGAGACTCTAACAAAGGGCCTTACAAATGATTAAGAGGCTGGAGCATTTCTTCTGTGAGAAAAGGCTGAGAGAGCTGGGACTGTTCAGCCTGGAAAAGCAAAGACTCTTGGGGGATCTTGTCAGTGTGTACAAATACCTGAAGGAAGAGTATAAGGACAATACTGGTTCTCAGTGACAGGACCAAAGGCAATGGGCACAAATCAAAATACAAGATTTTCCCTCTAAACATCAGGAAACATTTTTAATGTGAGAGTAACTGAGCATTGGCACATGTTGCCCAGAGTGCTTGTGGAGTGTTCATGTTCATAACTATTCAAAACCCATATGCATGTGGTCCTGGACAACTGCCTCTAGGTGACCCTACTTGAGTAGGGTCTAGTATGGACTAGATGACCTCTAGGTCCCTTCCAACCACAACTATTCTGTTACTCTGTTAGGTGCCTCTGACTGCAGTAGAATTTACAACTATTAGAGTAATTCATTCCAAGCCAAGGTTTAACAGTGCCCCTTTTGGTACTCTGTAAATCCAGATGGAAGCAGGACTCGAATTATCTGAGTCAGTAGACTCAAACACCCGATAGGTGATTTATAAAGTCTCAGCCAAATGAGGGGAAATTATTCCAGGTTTGACCACTGTTTGTCACAAACTTTGAAAGAATTACAATTCCTTCTCCGCAGTGATTAGTTCTAATTTTAGAGAAAATGTTTGTATGGTTATATCTCCAGAGGTATAAAGTCTGTGGTTCTTATCCTTCCCTCTATAATTTTTAAATGCAGCAGTGTTTAGCTAAAGTGTTTAGCTATAGCAGTGTAACAGAGAGTAGCACTGGACCTTTTTGAGTTGGGTCAAGCTGGAAATGACACTGGCTTACTTAAAGAGGAACTCTTTCAGAAAGCTTCCTGCCTAGCCTACATGGCAGCTCACTCAGCCTACAGAGACCATTGTGTACTGAAAGAGCATCAAGAAGATTTAATAAAGTGTCAAAGTGCTTCTAAAAACATGGTTAGAGCAGCGATTTCCTGGATACACATGCACCACAACAAATGGCCTCATCTCAGCTGATATTAAAGCAATAACTCTTTGACACTTCATGCTACCCGCTGAAAGAAAAATAAAGGTCAATATATACCTCTATTACAAGTTTCTGCATTTCAATATTGGGCCATTTTATTGCTGTCACAGCACAGACGGCTCGCCTTTCTTCCTTACTTTTGGTGGAATTTGAATCTGTCAGCTTAAGTTGCATTATTTGTGTGGTGAAAGTGAGAAGAAATTGTCTTTTTCTATTTGGGCAGTATCTCCAGTCATGGTTTTTCAAGTGCCTAATGGTTATTTTATCTTGCTTGTGTTTGACATCACCATCATCATGCCTGCTTACAACTTTAGATCTAAGTGGTGGAAAAATCTAATAGAGCAAGTTAGTTCATTGGGGAACATAAAATATAGCTACCTAAGGCTATGAGCAGTACAAATACAGTTAGTTATTACCTTGTTCCAGCTTTCTTTTCTCCTTACTGTTCAGAAATCAACATTTTTTCTTTGCTTCCAGGGTTATTGAAAGTTTAACCTCTTCTCTCCTAATTCTGATCAGCATGATTCAAGTGTTTTTTTGCTCGCTCCTTATATTTGATTATAAGAATCTTTCTGCTTCCCGGTACCGTACACAAGTCAACAGCAGGTTGTTTTTCCAACTCTCCTGTCACCATGATGCATGTCAGAAAGTTGTCAGAGGTTAGGCTGATGATGGTCTAAGGCAGCTGTTTATCAAGTCAATCCATGTTGCCACCTTTTTTTTTTTGTTTTATTATCCATGTTTCTGTACCTATGTGTGATATCTTGTTTTGTGCTAAGGTAACAGACTCCTTGGGTTCGAAATGTACTTCTTATTCTGCACAGTAAATTACTTGGCACAGAATGGTTCTGACCCATTGTTGAAATATCAAATGTGATACAAGTAAAAATAAAGCATCTAATTCAAAATAGCAAGAATCAGGGTAATGAATTATTATTGTTACTCTATTAGGAGTATCTGTGCTATTTTTAGTACTCATTTTCATACGTAAGGAACTAAAACTTCTCCTTTTTGAAACACGTATAAAGCTTGTACAGAATAGCAAGTCTGTAATCCCAAAGTGATACAAAATCCAGGGGAATTTTTAGATTTATACAAGGCTTGTTAAGGAAGTACAGAAGAGCATAAAAAGTGCAAAGATATCTTCTGTTTATAGTATAGACTAAGATACCTCCTGCAGTTAGGTAGTCTGAGTACTGTCAGAAGTATTTTAGAGCACAGTTAGACCAGTTAGACTAAAAACAGTTGGAAAAATGAAGTACTTTAAAAATACACAATATTAGTTCAGACAAATTACATGCTCCAGTTTTTGAAGATCCCAGACATGGTATGTAGTCTTGGACAAACAACCAAGACAAAGGGAATTGAGAGAATATTGCAGGAAATACCCAGTGGCAATGAAATTAGCATTTGAAATGTCTATAGTGTTTTGGGTTATTTTTGATTTATACTAACATTTCTGCAAGGCAGTGAAACTCAGATCAGTGGAGGACAGGCAGGATTTGAGTGAGAAACAGTTGAGAGGTATGGCTATACTCTACTGCTGGGAATATTTCTGTGATTGAGAGAGGCCTCGAAGGAAGATAACAAGAGCTGACCTTTTCTGTTAAAAGAAAATAAGGAAGAAAAAGGCGTTTCAATTTGTGTTTGTTTCAGTGAGTTGCAAATGGTGCTTGTGCTCTGCTGTTCCTGAGTAGAAGCACTTACTTGAGTTTCTCACACGTGGTTTTCTTCTGGATTTAAGTACAGTCTGTTCAGAAGTGACATGTGTTATACTAAATTATTGCTTCATGTCTCAGGGCCCTGTCACACCAGACTCTTCTGTGATAATAATATCCTCTTGGGGACTTCTGCTTTACCACGTTACCCCACAAAGACCTCAAAGACAAGCTGTTAACTTTTGAGTGTGGTACAGTAGCATACCATGCAAGCTGCTATTAGATGAGAGTCACCGTACTGAGACACATCACATTCTTGCAAGACTGTCATGCTTCTCACAGGGTTTTTCATTAGTTAAAGGTTCTGGAATCCCACATGTCCCTGATTTAGAACACAACTTCAATTATTAGTGAAGTACTACAGGGATTTTTTGGTTTGGGAGACCTCTGTGAAAACAGGTTAAAGTGACACTTATTCTCTTGGCTTCTGCTTCCATTCTGCCTGTGTGGTCAGAATTCTTTTTTGTGAGTTGCTGTTCAAAGCTTTTTAGGAGACTCTCCATATGCTTTTACATGACACATTCTGTCTGGTTCACAGCTGGGTCATTCAGTTTTTAAATGTTTGTGCAAATATATCTTTAAAGTTAATTACTAAGTAAAGCTAGTCTAGAAAGCTATCATGTGTATCATTTATATCATGATACACATCTTCCATTCAAAACACATTCAGTTCAGCAAATCTGAGAACCACTCTAAGTAATCTTCCAGGTAATCTTCTAGAGCCCACTGACCTAGGGCACACCCCTGATATGTCTGGTCTATGGCATGGGTGGCTGGGGACCCAAGATAAAACACTTTTCTGTGAAAAAGAAATCAGAATCCTTCTGGGAGGACAGATGGACTTCTGGTTATGCTTTCCATGAGGAACGAGAAACTGTGTGCTCTGTTACTTATCCAGGGCATGCCTTAACCTCTTGAGATGAGAATAATGACACTTGCCAAACTGTTTGAACTGTACCTTGAAGTGACAAGCATGAATTACTTGTGGATTTTTCAGCTATGATCTTACAGCCATAGAATGACAGTATATGATATATTATATGCAGAATGTTCTCTCTAGAGAATAGAAGAGAGGATCTGTCCATTACCCATATGGAGAGTCCAGCCCATTGACATGGCTTAAAATAAGGTTCTCAACTTTTATTTTTAACTATTAGGCTTTTCAGCCTTCTAACTGTGTTTTCTATTGAGGGTCCAATAATCTTGATTAATGTCTTTCCATAACGTGCAGCTCCAGGCTAAATCCTTCCTTACAGTGTATATCACAAAGGAAAATAGCACAGAAGATTTGTCAGTCTAATTAGACTTTCACTGTCAGTAAGACAAATAAAATTATCTCACCCTTGGTC